TCCTTTTGTGTATAGAGTTCTGTAGATGTCTGTTAGGTCCATCTGTTCTGATGTGTTGTTCAGTGCCTCTGTGTCCTTACTTATTTTCTGTCTGGTTGATCTGTGCTTCAGAGTGAGTGGAGTGTTGAAGTCTCTTGGAATGAATGCATTGCATTCCATTTCCCCTTTTAATTCAGTTAGTATTTGTTTCACATATGTAGGTGCTCCTGTGTTGGGAGTATAGATATTTATAATGGTTATACCTTCTTGTTGGATTGACCCCTTTATCATTATGTAATGTCCTTCTTTGTCTCTTGTGACTTTGTTTTTAAGTCTATTTTATCTGATACAAGTACTACAACTCCTGCTTTTTTCTCTCTATTAGCTGCATGAAACATCTTTTTCCATCTCTTCACTTTTAGTCTGTGTATGTCTTTGGGTTTAAAGTGAGTCTCTTGTAAGCAGCATGTAGACGGGTCTTGTTTTTTATCTATTCAGTGACGCTATGTCTTTTGATTGGTGCATTCAGTCCACTTACATTTAAGGATGATTATCGATAGGTATGTACTTAATGCCATTGCAGACTTTAGATTCATGGTTACCAAAGGTTCAAGGTTAACTTCCTTACTATCTAAGAGTCTAACTTAACTCACTTAATATGCTATTACAAACAGAATCTAAGGGTTCTGTTCTTTTCTCCTCCTTTTTCTTCCTCCTCCATTCTTTATATATTAGGTCTCATATTCTGTACTGTTTGTCTATTCCTTCATTGACTTTGGGGATAGTTAATTTAATTTTGCATTTTCTTAGTAATTAGCTGTTCTACTTTTTTACTGTGGTTTTATTACCTCTGGTGACAGATATTAAACCTTAGGAACACTTCCATCTATAGTAGTCCCTCCAAAATAGACTGTAGAGATGGTTTGTGGGAGGTAAATTCTCTCAGCTTTTGCTTATCTGGAAATTGTTTAATCCCTCCTTCAAATTTAAATGATAATCTTGCCAGATAAAGTAATCTTAGTTCCAGGCCCTTTGCTTCATTGCATTAAATATATCATGCCACTCCCTGAGGTTTCTGCTGAGAAGTCTGATGATAGCCTGATGGGCTTTCCTTTGTACATTATCTTATTTCTCTCTCTGGCTGATTTTAACAGTCTGTCCTTATCCTTGATCTTTGCCATTTTAAGTACTGTATGTCTTGGTGTTGTCTTCCTTGAGTCCCTTGTGTTGGGAGATCTGTGGTACTCCATGGCCTGAGAGACTATCTCCTTCCCCAGATTGGGGACCTTTTCAGCAATTACCTCCTCAAAGACACTTTCTATCCCTTTCTCTCTCTCTTCTTCTTCTGGTATCCCTATAATGTGAATATTGTTCCATTTGGATTGGTCACACAGCTCTCTCAATATTCTTTCATTCTTAGAGATCCTTTTTTTCTCTCTGTGCCTCAGCTTCTTTGTATTCCTCTTCTCTGGTTTCTATTTCATTTATAGTCTCCTCCACCATATCCAATCTGCTTTTAATACCCTCCATTGTGCTCTTCAATGGTTGGATCACTGACTGGAATTCATTCCTGAGTTCTTGAATATCTTTCTGTACCTCCATTAGCATGTTAATGATTTTTATTTTGAAATCCCTCTCAGGAAGAGTCATGAGGTCCATGTCATCTTTCTCAGGGGTTATATTAATTTTACTCTGGACCAGGTTCCTTTGGCCTTTCATATTTGTGTATGGCGCCCTCTTGTGTCCAGAAACTCTACTCTGGAGCTGCTCAGCCCCTGAAGCAATGTTGGGGGCCGCAGGGGAGTGGTATTGGTGCCTGCGGGGAGGAAAGAGCTGTTTCCTGCTTCCCGGCTGCTGTGCCTGTCTCCACTGCCTGAACCAGTGGGCCAAGCACACAGGTATAAGCTTTTGTCCCAGAGCAGCCGGATATGGATCCCTGCTTTCCACAAGCGGCTGGAATCTCTGTCTCTCCAGGAATTCTTAGCTTTCCAACCCCATAATCATGAGAGTACCATGAAAGCACCATGAAATGTATGTTTGTGCTCCCAGAGCAGATCTCTGGAGTTAGGTATTCAGCAGTCCCAGGCCTCCACTCCCTCCCTGCTCAGTTTCCTTTCCTCCCGCTGGTGAGCTGGGGTTGGGGAAGGGCTTGGGTCCTGCCGGGCCACAGCCCTGGTACATTACCCTGTTCTGTGAGGTCTGCTCTTTTCTCCAGGTGTGTGCAGTCTGGCGCAGTCCTTTCCTGTTGCTCTCTCAGGATTAGTTGTATTAATTGTATTTTCATATTATATGCGGTTTTAGTAGGAAGCCTTTGTCCCACCTCTCACACCGCCATCTTTAATCTCTCCAGCAATTATTGACACTATTGTTTTAAAGAGGAATACAGAGACCTAAGGTGGGGGGGTGCCAAGTGACCTGATCAAGGTCACTGAGTGAAAGAGAGTTTATTAAATATTCTTTGTGCTCATAAGTCTTTTTTTCTATAAGTCTGGGCTCAAAAACCAATCTATTAATATGACTGTTAGCAAAAAAATACCCTGGAAGAAAGGAAAATGAGTTGAATGGTAGTGATGAAAAAATAGGAAAACTCTAGCTATGGAAGGGTAGAGCTTCATTGTGATTGACTCACTGACTCGGTTACAAATGCAGATTTGTCTAAATTTGAATAATGTAAAGAGCACCACCTCAGGCTCTGATTAGCGCAGTGTGAACTGAACACCAAGCTCCCTGAGTAGTTATTGCAATGTGGTATGAGTATAAAGCCTGCTGAACTAGGATTAAGATCAGAGTTCTAATTCTAGGCATGGATTCATATTCAACCTGCTTGTAAACAGCTGTCTTTCTTTCTAGCACAAACATTTGTCCCTTGTTATTTTTAATTTATTATTTCATTCATACAAAAGTTTATATAAAACATTAGTTATAAAGCACAATAAAATAATGAACAACTATGAAATCACCAAGCCAAGAATCAGAAAATTACCAGTAACTTGCACTACTTATATACCCTTTAGCTACTTATATATCTCATCTTCCTGTCCAGACCCACCCTGCCAGCTAAACCAACATCTTAAGTTTTCCCTCAACAGTTAATTTCAATCCATATCCGAATTGATGTCTCTATGGCTCTTGAACACTCTTGCTCCCACCAGTGCCCAGGCCCCTCCCTACACCAACAAATTCCCTTTTTTTCCCTGGCTTCTGTAATACCCACTGCCTGGTTTTCTTCTTACTTCCTGGTTGTTCATGGTCTTTTTTTCCTTGAGGCCCATTCTCCTTTACCCAGCTAGTAAAACTTAAGAGTTCCTCAAAACTCCATTGTCGGCCCTCTCTTCTCACTCTAGACTCTCTTTAGCTTTCTTGTGCCCTCTGTTTCAGTTACCACTTACACACAGATGTCTTCCAAGCTGATATCTCCAGTCCCTACATCTCCCTCTCAACAGTCAACCTGACATCTATGTTCAATAGCTACAGTGTATCTCAAACCAAATTTCTGACCTTCCTTGTCAAACTGGATCCTCTCTCTGGGTTCCCTAGTATAGTGAAGGGCACCACAGCTACCCACTGTTTTATAAGTCAAAAACCCTTGAGTCACTCATAACACATCCTTTTCCCAGAGTCGGTATCAAGTCCCCTTGATTTTTATTTACTTTGTAGCTCTTGATGCAATCTATTTGATCTATTCTACCACCACTATGACAAGCCAAGCTCCCTTCTAAGGTAGTTGAATTATTCCAACAGGCTTTTTGTAGCCAAGCTCCTAACACTCCTACCTCTTTCTCCAGTTACTGCTTATTTCCCCTTCCTAGGTCACTTGTTTCCTCAGGAGATCATTCCCTACCAGGTCTATTGCTCTTATAAATTCTTTTTGTGCCATGCATCAATGCTTTTATAGCATTTATCACCATTATAATTTTATGCTAATTTGCATAATCATGATCAATGTCTGTTTCCCTTTCCAGAGCTCATGAGAGCAGGAAGTATGTCTTTTTATTCTTATCACTGTATCCCCTATGCACAGCAATGAGCCTGGTCTTTAAGTGGGACTTAAAAAATACTTGTTGACTGAATGAATGATTAAATGAATGAACTATGTGGCACTGAAAGATCCCTCAGCTATTGGGGATGACAGGGATTCATAAAATAGCCTTAAAAACTCTCCTTTTCTTCTTATCTAATTCCACTCTCACTGAGGAACATCTCAATTTTTAGTTTAGTTTCCCAGGTAAATCAAATAACACCCAAGAAGGGAATCAGAAAAATTTCTGGGTACCACAATCCCATTTAACAGAAGTAAAAGACAAGAACCCTGGAATCAAACAGCTTCAAATGAGTCCCATCTCTGGCACCCACTAGCAGAATGAACTTGAGGAAGTCATTTCAATGCTGAGCTCAGTTTTCTCATCTTTAAAATGGAGACTTGTATCTCTCCCACATGACATTAATGACTTCATACAGAACAAGGCATATTTTCTGCATTATTTTTGCTTCTTTATTTTACCACTGCTATAATTAGTTTATAATATTATTACCAAAGATTAATAATAGCATGGGAGGGACTGAATGGATATATGATTTCTAAAGTCTCTCCCACCTCAAATAATTAGGATTCCACTAAGTTTCTAATGATGATTAATTTTCTTTTTTGAAAAATAACTACCTTGTATGAAACTATAAAGTGAGACCAACAGGACTATACCCCAACAAGCGGCATTCCTAAAATCTCAACTTTAGAAAAACATTGTCAAAGGGCCAGGAGGGCATCATTTTTTACTGAATGCCACAGTCTTGCTATCTGCTATACTGGTCTTCTGGGGCTTCTTGGTGTGTGAACACAGAAATTCTGAAGCAGGTTGTAAGAAGCAAATCTGAATCTCTCTGTGGGTGATCATTCCCCCAAAATCTTTCCACATGCACCCTTGATTTGGCTTCTGGCCCAAGTACATGGCTTAGGAGAGATTTTATGGTTTGGTAAATGCCTGTTTTCCCTACCAGTGACCATGCTGAACAACTAGGGATACCTGGGATCCAGCAGGCCCTGCTCCACTCCCCAGGCCATCTCTCTCACAGCATTGCTGATCTCATGACGGGACGTGTATGCAAAGCAGACATTCAGGAAACACCTGAGAAGGGACAAACAGAGTAATTCACTGAAGAAGGCCAGGGACTCAGGACTGGAGTCACTGATATAAAGCACTCCTTCCCTGGAAGAACAAACACATCAAATGTTAACTATGGATACCTCTGAAAGGTGAGATTATGAATTTTTTGTGTTTTCTGAAGATTTTTGGAATAAACATGTTATTAATTTGGTAGTAAGACAAATACTAAATGACTTTTATTACCCTCCTAAACCTTTTCCCTTCTACCACTAACCAGCTTTCAGAGGATGTGAATCCACTGTGATATTAACAGAAGCAAAGGAGAATAGGAAGGAAATTTGATGCAAAACAAATCCACTGCCAAATACATATTATATTCCAAAACCACATATAATGAAGCTTGGATTATTGAACTCTGTTCCCCTCCGCATCTGCATAACCTCTCAAGGTCATCCTATCCATGGGTTAAAAGCATGGGACCAAAAAAAAAGTATTTCTTGAAGGATCTGTCTTCAGAGACAGGGATGAGACCTGCTGCATTCCCAACCCTTCCCCGTCAAGGCAAAAAAATAAAAACATATATGTATATACACATGTGCATATGCACACATACATACATACACATCTGGGGGTAGGCACATGAAAAAACACAAAGACGAGAAACTGTATGTTTAAGTATACACACACAAATGGGATTGCAGAACCACCTGCAGTCTGCCCTGTAGTTAGGAGGAAGTCTATAAACATCCCAAACCATCCCCTCTTGCCCCACTATACCAAATGCAGATCACAAAAGGCCCAGGATATCTCCCTAAAGCTATCAGGCAGTCAAAGATTGATACAGGTCCCTAAAGGGAAATCCGAAGCCTACCTGTTGTAGTTCTTGGTGGCCTGCACAGCTTGTGCAATCAACTCCTGGAGATCCAAAGGCAACAAATGTAGATCACCTAGGACCCGGATACATACCCCATGCTTCTGCAGTTTCTCCCTGATCAGGAAAAAGAGAGAGGGTTGGGACAGAGTCTGCCGAGCTGGAGAGGTGATAATACTCTACTAGTTTTTGAGTGCGCTCCTGTGCATAAGGCACTATTAGACATGTCTTATTTCACTGCCCCCCTTCAACAACTCTGAAAGGAGCTCACTACATTCCCCACTCTACAGCAGGAAACTGAGTTTCAGATGGGATTGTCAGATAGGGATTGCCCGAGGTCATAGAGCCATCAGGTGCTCTATCAGGACAGAAACCCAGGTGTGCCTGATCATGTGTCCTTGTTGAAAAGTTGCATTTTACATATTCTGTGCTATGTCCCATTTTGATAAGTGAATAAACTCAAGGGCAGGAGCTATATTATCAGTTATGTCTTCTGGTGAAATACGATAATAATAGCTACACTGAATGTTAATGATATGTTTACTAAGTGTCACGCACTGGTCTAAAGTGCTTAATGTGCATCAATACAGTCCATCCTTATACCAACCTTTGAGGCAGACACCACTATCATTCCCCTCTTATAGATGAGAAAACTGAGGCACAGGGAGGTTAGGTAACTTGCTTAAGATCGGATAGTTGGTGAGTGGAGAGCCAGAACATGAACTAGGGAGTCTGGTTCTGGAGCCTATCCTCTTACCCACGACATTACACTGCCTCCATACAGAAACTCCCAAACTCTGAGCACAAATCCACTGTTACCCAAGCAGCTTTTCTCCCCTGGGAATGCTAAAGAGTAACTGAACAACTAATGTTTGGAATAATGGTAGCTTAATAACAAGAAATATACTGTAGGATGGGGGGATCTGACAGGTCCTGGAGAACTCTGATCTAAAGCTGAAGGCCACACCCACAAACTACCCACCCTATAACCCTTAATCACATTTCCCAAGCAAGATCTAATCACCTACTTTTGGGAACTAACTGGAGCTACAGTAGACAAATGTTTACTAAAATCAAAGCAAAATCTGAAAAAGAATACCTAGATTCAAGTCCCAGCGCCATCACTTACTAGTTGGCCTCGTTTAACCACCTTGCCTCTCTGAGCCTAGTTCCCTTTACCCTGCACACTGGGGGCGATAAGCATCCCTGCCATACTCTCCACGTAGGCTTGTGTTGAGTGAGATAAAAGCACTGAATGTGTTTATTCTCAGACATCAGACACAGACTTCAGAGAGGTCTATAGAGTAGGAGCTCCTACAAAGCCCTGGCTAGGAGATCTGGGCTCCCAGTGTGGCTCTGTCACTAGCTAGCTATGTGACCACAGGCAGGCCTTTCTCTTCTCTAAGGGGTTTAGTTTCCCAACTGATGAAACTGAACTAGGCCAGGGGTTTTCCAACCTTCTTTTAGCTGAAGAACTCTTTCTTCAAATCAAATCTTAAACAGAAGCCCAATATAAAAAATAGGTAAATGCATTATTTAAAAATAATAATAATAATAATAATAAGGGAGAAATGTGGGATTCACATATAAATCAAGTATAAAAATCAAACGAATATTCATATTTGACCTGATTGTTTATAGTTCATAATGCGTGATCAAAACCGAAAGTTTCTGTGATATGACTGCCCTTGTACTGTTCACCATGTAAGAACTTATTCACTATGGAAGAATTTCTTCACCATGTAAGAACTTGTTCATTATGCTTCAGAAGATTGGAGACTGACAAAAATTGGGCTTGGGGTTGATTAATGATTGTGCATTGAGTCCCCTATACAGAATTTTATTGTTGTTAACAACCATTTGATCAATAAATATGAGAGATGCCCTCTCAAAAAAAAAAAATAGGTAAATGCAAACCAGCACCCCACACCCTTTTCCTCGGGGTTCTTTGCACGCCCACTCTTCAGAGCCCTCGTGTTCTGTGGCACATTGTTGGAAAACCACTGTAAGGTTTCTTCCTGCTCTATCCAACCTAAGACCATCTTCTCTACTAATGACTGATTACAGTGACCTTAGTAGTACCTCTACTGCCATGCATTTTTGGTCTTTCAGGAACTAATATTACCTTCTGTTTCCTATTTGGTGTTGCAGACAAGAGCTCAGCTCTGGAGTCAGAACGATCCTGTCTGTCTTGGCTCTGCCTGTCTGATAGTTGTGTGATCCAGGATATATACCTAAACTTCTCTGGTTTTCTACTTTCCTTCTCCCTACAATTGGGATAACAATCTTTCATACAAGATAATGTGAATATTAAATAAGAATACATGTTAGGCTCAGGGCCTGACACGCAGTATAAGCACTATAAAAGGTAAGCTTTGTGTGAAGTACAGAATTTGAACACTGGACTGTGCCCCTCACCTCTATCCCCAGCCTCATGGGTGTGAACTCTGAGCCACACAGGCTCTGCTAGGCACCAGGTAGCAATGTCTGTGCCCCGAATCCCAGCATCTTAACATGGACAGAGAAAAGCCTGGCTACCCTGCCCACCATCCCGACACACACAGGAACTGAAATGACAGAACTGTTCTAGGCCCAGCTCCACTGGAGCTCTAGGGCTCTCTATTCTCTCATCTTCCTGGTTCTAGTGTGGAGAAGAGCTGGGAGAGAACAGTTGTAATGAAGACTTTGGGGCAGGCCTGGCAAGAGACGGTTCCACACTTCGAAGCAAACAATCTCAATCAAACTTCCTCTTCGTCCCTCTCTGGCTTGCTCCCTAGGCTAAGCTTAAACCTACTATAGCTAAGAGTGGTACTGACTCTTCCTCATAAAGGCCTCTTACACATCATCCAGTCCCTTCCAAGAGACTACGCTGTGGAGATAGTAACTTGTTAGGATGACTGCACAGCAGAAAATGACTTTTCAATGTCATTTCTACTTCCCTAGTCACAATGTATTAGTCATGGGGTAGAAATTTGATCTAAGGTAGGACAAATAAAGGATTTAGTTCATTCTGGGCAGCTCTCTTGAAGCAGAGAAATCTGGTCTTCAGAGAGACGAAAGTAAATGTATGAAGATGCTCTACCTAACGGATTTCAATTCTTGGTTTCAGTTTTGCTTGAGGCTGGCTGTACTACTTTTTGAAATCTGTGAAATAACTTTATCTTCAAATAACACCCCCTTAAAAAAGAAAGAAGGAAAGAAAAGCTGGCTTTCCATATTTGCCATCAGACACCTAACATTAAAAGCGTTAAGTGTTCCTTAAATAAGCCTCAGATTAGAGAATTGGGGGTTAGGGTAAGGTTAGAGGGGGTGGAAAAACGCATTCTCCTTTCTGACAGCATCTTACTGTTCTTCCATTAAGCGGCTGAACTTCTGCCGGGCCAGATCCATTATCCCGTCTACCTCACTCTTGGAGCGTTTGAAGTTCTCAATGCTGAATGCGTAGACCGTCACCTCTAAGATGCCCAGGTTCAAACACCAGCGCAGAGTCTGAGAGGGGAAAAAGCAAGGAGCTAGGAAGAGAGGGAAGGGAACTAAGAGGTGCCTTGGCCCTCAGTGTTGGAGGTGAGACACAGACATTTTTCCTCCTCAAACTGGGTAGAGCTACTGTAACACCAGTGCTTCTGTCAGAACAATGAATCAAGTAAGCAGAAAACCACCACTTGAGAAACTAAAATGTGAACTTCATGAGTAGTACCATGCTTGATGCTGTTGCAGTTTACTTGAAGGAACTCTTCACTGAGAGTAAAGATCCAGGTTTTAGTCCCTGATTCCATCATGCACTTGCTATGTGACTATAAGCAAATCATTTAAGCTCTCTGGGCCGAAGACTTCTTATCTGTAAAATGAGATCACAGTCCATCCCTCCCAAGGTGGCTAAAAAACAATATAAAAACACAATAGGTATTACTCACAGCATAACTTCATTATTCTGTTAGACTAAGAGGCTGATGAGTTATAACAATAAAAGTAAAAACTGCTCAGCTGTGTAGCACATAAATTGGCAAATACATTATTTGATTCTTTAAACATCCTCTTGAGAATGGCCTTATTCTTTTCATGCCTACTTTATAAATCATAAAACTGAGGTTCAAAGAGTCAAAAAAAATGTCAAAAGTTCATAACTTTACTGCATGAATCCACCATATGAAGTTCTAGAACACGAAAATTGATCTATAGTGATAGAACAGTGGCTGTGGGGAAGAGGAGGTGGGCCAGGGTTTGACTGAGAAAGGGCACAAGGGAACTTTCTGGAGAGATGGAAATGTTTTCTGCTTTGACAGGGGTATGCATCAGATACAGAAATGCCAATGTCCAAATCCATAGCTGTGCATCTCACTATACTGAAAGTACACTTCAGTGAAAAAAAAAGTGAAGCTCACCCTTAAACTTGGTCCTTTGAGGCTGCTCTCACCCAGTCCCACTAAAGGTGGAAGACAAAATGGAGCCAAGAATAACAGTGCTGAGATGGGAAGCTTGGAGGTTAAAGGTAGGAGAGAAGGCATTCAAACAGAACTAAAGAAACAAAGCTGAAGAGCTGCCTTTCTAATCCCTTAATAGGCACACACACAAACCAATTCAATGCCACCTTAGGAAAATTACCTGAAACACCCTGGCACCTGAATAGCTCAGGACCTATAGGCTTTACAGGACAGCCACCTTGGCTGGCACATCTGGGTCAGAACCCACCACTGACCTCAGTCCACATAGCTGCTAATAACAATAGCTTCATTTTCTTTAGCACTTCTTTATGTCAGGTCTTGTGCCATATGCTTTTCATTGTGCCATCTTGTTTAATCTCATACAATCTCCTGAGGCAGAGATCATCACTCTCTCCATTTTACAGATGAAGAAACCGAGGCAAAGGGAATCTGTATGACTCATTGCAGGTCACAGAACCAGGGAGTGGCAGAGCACGGGTGCCAAGGAGTTCTAGGTGACTGCGGTTTGCAGTACCTGGGCAAAACTGCCTCTTACTTAGTCATACAAGAGAAACTTGAATCAACAAACCTCCACACAGTGTTGGAGAGAGCCTTCCAGCCATTCATTGGAGGCAAAAAATATCACTGCCTTGGCATCAGGCTACGTTCATGTGCCAGGAAGCTGAAATCTGTGGGCTACAGACCATTTTCCATTCTTCTAAAGTTAGTTTTACAAAGACTGACATAGTCCATTTTTATGGTTAAATTTGATGTTTTCCAATTTGCAATATGAAACATCCATTTGTTTAGAGTGATGTCCCAGATTGTCTGGCACTTTCCCAGTTTAAGCACGAAAAGGCCTGTCCTGAGAAACTACTCAGTCACGCAAACCAGGATAGGTAGTCACCCTACCTGTGCTCCAGAAATGCCACTTCTAAGGATTTGTTCTAATGAAGTACTATTTATAATGTCCAATAATAGTTTTAGTAGCTAAACAAATTACATAGGGTCCTCATGATAAAATATTCTTCAGTCATTAAAACATATCATTAGAAAGGCTATATATAAATTAACCTAGAAAAATACATGCCAAAATGTCAAGTAAAACTAATGTATTGAAGCTATAATAATTTATAAGTGTTAAATCAATAAGCAATATACTATAAGGACTGGGATAAGGCACAGAAAAAGATAAACTGTTGACTTAGTAAGGTGGTAAGAGGGAGCAATTTTGTTCTTATTTCTAATATCTTGTGATGATTCACTGGACAATTAAATTTTTTGTTAATGTTGATACGGGAACGATAGCTAGTAAGCAAGCAATAAAACAAAGAGCTATAAAAACTCTCTCAAAACACAAACTCAAGGCCTGGTTTTCTAGCTATAAACCACAGACTGTTCACCCTGGGTCATGACACCACACCCACCTCAGCCAGCTTGTTGAAGCCCTGTGAGTGGCCCTCCTGCTGCTCCACTTGGCACTTCCTGGCATAGCGACGATTCCCATCCATTATAATAGCGATGTGTTTGGGCATCGGGCCTGCCTGTAAGAAGATAAATGGTGAACACATCACTTATGCTTCAGGGACAGAGGGAGACCCTGTACTCCAAGCTGATAGGCTTGAGTTATGTGATAAAAGCCCTGAGGAAGGGAATTTGGTATTTTGCACTTACTGAGCTAAATGGGTATTAAAGACTTTATTTATATGTTTATGGAGCACTTACTACATGCCAGGTATTATGCTAGACTTTTTAGACTTCATCTTGTTTTTTTTTTCATACAAACCTATAAAGTAGTATTTTCATTTTATAGGTGAAAAAAATGAGGCTCAGAGAGGTCAAGTGACTTGCACAAGTCACACAGCTAATAAGAGGCAAAGTGAGGACTCAAAGTGAGGTCTGTGTGCTTTCAGAATTCATCTTTTAGCCAAATGCTTTTATCTACCACCTTGGTTTTGTTAGTCTCCAACTGAAAGGCACAGGAAGGATACTGATGGGTGTGGGCAAATGGAGAGGCATCCTCCACACAGAAGAGGAATCTACTCCTCAGCTCTATCTGATTGCTTCCACACAGAAATAGGAGCCCAAAGTTGCTGGATCTTCTAATTATACAAGAGACACCAAGCACCAGGGTTTTTATAAAAACATAGAAGTCAGGAATCATTTCAAAGCAAATAAAAAAAAGATTTTGGGGACCAAACAAAACCTCTCATCTGGCTTAGAGTAGCCTTTTATTTTCACCCACAGCAAAAATTCACATTTAGCTTAATTTCTCTTACTGGGAAATCTTCTGCTTTAGTCTTCCACATGAAGCCTCTAGAAAAATTCCAGTCAAAGTCATGCAGCTGGCTCTTCCCAACACTTGAATGTAGTGGTTCCCTGAGGAGATACTTTCCATTTCCTGGCCTAGCCTGAGATCACTTGCTATTTGTATGGGCATGAGGCTTGCTAGTTCATAAATTCACTGCTCTGCCCTGCTTGACAGCCTGTGGTTGAAAAACAAAACCAGGCTGACTGGCTTCAATCTCAAACATGCAGAGGACATACTGATATGATTCCTAGAGAAAAAAACCGAAGGAAGATTTGGGAAAGCAAGAGGGAGTGGTAGGAAAAAGAATGACTATAGTCTTCAAAGGTAGATGTATGTTTCATTTAATCCTCAAAACAACCATATAAAGTCACATAGTTAATAAGCGATAGGACTTTCACTCATGTTTGTCTGCTTCCAGAGCCCAAACTCTTAACTACAATGCTCTACTGCCACATCAAGGAAAGATTATTTTATCTGAATCCAGGGGACAGTACTAGGAATAGGTCAAAGTTCCAGGGAACAAATTTCAGTTCTCTATAAGGAAGACCTAACAGTCTATGCTGCCCAATGATTTTGGGAGGTCCTGGGCTTCCTGAAAATGTGAAAGTCAGAACAATAATCTGCCAGAAATGTAGACCTGTAGGTTATCTTGCAGTTCTAAGACTCTTTGGTCCCATTGCTAAACCACTCAACATCATTGATTATGTAATTTCAGTAATAAATTTGATACAAGATTATCCAACTAACCACATAACTGTGCTGTGGGCCACTGCTCACCTTTATGATGTTGGCACAGAACCGCTCCCAGAGTGACAGCTCTCCTTCCTTGATCCATGACATAGTTCTTGCCTGGCAGAGGATGAGCCCAAACCAAAAAGACAGCAGCCAGGTGGGCTTGGATTTTAAAAAAAAGAAAATAAGAAAAGGAAAAAAAAAAGGAAACTAGACCTTTGCAAACAGGACCTGACTTGTAGGAATTCACCTGGACTGTACAGAGCCGCCAACATTAGTGTCCAAAGATACTGGTCTAAGCTTCTAATGCTTCAACTATCGTAGCTTATGACCCAATGGGGCTTCCAATGCGGAGGTTTTTCCTTGGTTCTCCTGGCTTGGTGGACCTTGCTTCCAATCCGTTTTCCTTGGAATCTACACTGATTTCTTCTTAACATGTAAGTCGGCTTCCTGCCACATCATAGTGCCTACATCCTGATCCTTCCCAGCTTCTTCCTTCATCTTCCCGCAGGCCGGTTCCCATTGTCTGTGCTGGAGGTCACTAAACCCTTCAGTTGTCCCACCCGTTATCTCCTACTCCCAATTAGCTGTTCCTTCACTTGTCTCTTCCACCGTCCCCTCTGTCCCTCCCTTAGCTGCCTTCCCTCCCAGTCACCTCTCTCTTCTCGTTCATCAACTGAATCCTGCCACTGCTCGGCTCCGGCGGGTTCCTGCCAACTGCTCCAGTGGGCCAACACTTCCTTACGCCCTGGCGCTGGAAGGACACGTCATCGTTGGGCGCGGGAGCACGCCCCCTTCCGTCACTCAGGGGGCGGGGCTCTGCCCTGTGTCTGCGGGCTGGAGGGGAGGTGCGAGCTTTCCGGGACGAAATTTATTCTCCCCGGGGCAGGGAGAAGGGGCTGTGACGCGTCCGGAACGGAGTGGGCAGCCGGGCTACAGGCCACGTGCTGGGGACCCAGCTGGGGTAGCCGAGGTCGGGCCCATTGGATGGGGATGGGCGGTGGGGTTTTTATGCCCAGACTGAGAGGCCTCACGCGGGTTCCGCTACACGGACTTTTGGGGGTTCCCTAACCTCAGAAATGCAAGGACTTGCCAGCCGCTGGTGGCCGCTTAGTACTGAGAAGTGGGGAAAGGCATTAGAAATGGGATTTATAGCCCTAGTTACAACAGTCATTTAAAATTATTTTTTACTGTTTTCTGATTTTAGTGTATTTGATCGTTTGGGAAGTTCCTAGCTCCGGTCACAACCCACAGACGTCCATTTTGTGCTGATTTAAGGTATTCAGATGTTAGGATTTGCAGATTCTTAGGACCTACTCAAAGAAACTCCAAACTGTTATAAGAACGAATAGAGTAACAAACAGGAAGGCCATCCACTGACCCTGAAGGGTAAATCAAGGGCGTTAGCTCTACCAAACTTTTAAGGACAATCACTGCAGGAATTTGAGTCATTACATAAAATTAACTGGGAGTTCAACTTTCTCAAAATTAAAAGAACAGGGAAAAACACATTTTCAAAGAGCGTTTGTTTCAGTTTGGATTGCAATCTCATCAAGCGAAACAGGACGAGGTATTACACTGGTTAAACGCCAATTGATTATCTTCCACTTTCTGAAGGGGCTACTTGTAACAAACACGATCAAAGAAAGCCCCATGAGTAACTCACCCATGAATAGTCTTAAGTTTTTCCATCTGTCCTGCTGACACCTGGAAAGTAAGGTTCAACCTAACCGGTTACTTCCAATTTTGCAGGAAGACCATTTACTGAAGCCCAGTAGTAGTTTCCTACTTGTAGCACCTTCCACGGTCAGCTTTGACTCTAAATATCCCTTCCCTTAGGGGGAGCCAGATGTTTAAAACTTCAGTTTTCATTAGGTCAGCAAACTTGCCAAGTGTTAACATGTGTTTTTTAGCTCGTCAGTGTTTCTCCTTTGGCCTCAATTTCTCAAGTTCCACATATAACCCTCCCTGGAGTGCTGCAGGGGGTTAATTAATTAAGATTTTGTTAAGGGCTTAGAGGAGCAGGGGACAAACTATTATTAGGGTCTCATGCCCCAAGCCCTGGCCCCATCCTTTCATCCCAGCCAGTGGCACAGGGAACCCCATTCTTATGCATGCCGAGCTCCTAATCCCCTCTTGAATGTGGCAGCTTCCAAGTAAAGGACAAGAGGCCTTAACTAGAAACAAAACCCCACTGTAATGATGTGCTAAGGACTGAATTTTCAAGATTCATTCCTAACAAAATGGTTGAACAGCAAACTTAAAGGCTCTTCTGTGACTTCTGGTCCTAATCCAAGAAGGTGGGAATTATGGGAAGAGAAAAGTTCCCTAAATACTTAGTAAGAAGAGGACAGTTTCAGTATCAGTAAGTCTTTATTCGTTTTATTTTCCCAGGGTAGAGAGGAAAAGGGAAAAAGGTCAGCATGTGTGTTACAAAAATGATAGCAAATGCTAAAGAGGTACCCGGCACAGCAAAATCAACCATCAAATAAACACTCCCCAATGTTTAGCCCAGGGAGCTGAGACTCCTGCAGTTCAGAATTGAGGGGAAGGGTTCAGGAAGACAGACAGGGACACTTTCCTACCCTCCCTCACTCCCTCCCCCATAAATTCAAGATTTCACACAAAGCTTTGGTTTTTAGCAGTAAACATGGAGTTACATTCGTCTGTCTCCTATTAAACAATCTTGTGGCCACTTTGACATAAGTTTCTTGCACCTGCATAAAAGTTCCTGAGTGACTTGGATATACATTCACCTTCTCTATGTTGGTATCCCAACCCCACTTTCTAGATGGAAGTTTCCCTCGATGCTTCTTTCTACCCTAGAATTAAAGAGATTAAAGTAGGTCTGATCATCCAAACACAGCAATTTTAGTGTTTGGCATGAATCACATCAAGGAATGGTCTTGACTCAGGAGACTGAGAACAAGGGATGTAGAGTCCTTAGCTTCTTGATTTTTGCACAAGCCATTTAAAACCTGTGGCGACACTCCACAAATTAAATGCATATGTATGAGTGTGTAGGCTTTTTGCGGGGGAATGAGAATAGAAGAGGAGATAGGGTAGGAGTCAAACTTTTAGGACAGAAGCTGATCTGGTCTGAAATAAGAAATAGGGGAAGGGGAAAAAAGGATGTTTCAAGACACCCACACTTCAAGAAGGGTTCCCAAGCTTATGTTTCAGATCATTTTGCCTGGCACAGAACCTTTTGTCAAAGATGCTTTGGCTATTTTTCTCAGTACAAAAAGAAGTTTGTAAACAAAACCCCAAAGAACATGAAGACCGACACATTGTATTTACACAAACTAGGCCACCTAGTAATCCCCAAATTGGCTATTCGTGAAGTCCTACAAAGCCCAGACAAATAAAATAACTAGAGGGGGGCAGCAACTGGAGGATACAAGAACCCAGAATCAGACACACATCACCCAGTGTGTTCTATTGCATTTGCCCCGTTTCAACACAGTGAGGTAGGTTTGTGGTGATCTCACAGCATATAAACAAAACCCCCATTATTCCTTTAGTTAATAACACCAATCACTGCTGCAGCAGGGCAGGACACTGGCTCTGGGCACCACACACAAGCCGTACCTTATGGGTCCCTCTGGAAGCCAAAGAGGAAAAGCCCACATTTTTAAAGGTTAAGGAATTTGGTCCTTGCTTCATATATCCATCCCTGGGCAGCTCAAGATGGGTACAGAGGTATCATACTTAAAACCTATCCTTACCTACATACACACACACACCCTGTTGTGTGTGCATGGTAGGCCTACCCCAATCCAGTGAAGGATGGATGTTATGTAGAGTCCTCTGCCCTGGTAGAGGTCTAGAACAGGACTCCTTCATTAGGCATTTGACAACCCTCCCCAAATCTTGGCTTCCCCTCTGTGCCTTTCACCACACCCAGCCTCTCTTAACATTCTCCACCACCTTTTCCTGCTTAGACCAATTCCCAATCTTCCAGGAGATTAAGTCATGCGGCAACCCAGTTACACCTACTCTCCCATGAAGCCTTGAAGGTGGAGGGGTTTCAAGAGGACAGTATGGCAGAAAAGCCAGCTCTAATTGGCAAAAATGAGGTAGTTCAAGAAGCTATACATACACTCCAAATAGTTGTTCTCCCTAGTGATAAAAACAAAAAGTATTCCTGCTGTGCAGACAGGAGCTGCTGCTGACTTATCCCTGAGATTGCTCATGTACCTGAGAACACAGTGCAGGAATGAGGGCCTTCAATTAAAATACACAAAAATATAAAACCAGAATATTTATATTACGAAAAAAAAAAAAAAAGCTAAAATGCACAAGATACGTCATTCGCACACAGCTAGTGCAGCTGGCATCCTGGAGAAAGTGAGACCCAAGGTGCAGTTATCCAAGGGAGCAAATAAATAAACTTGTATTGGTCCCGAACAGAGTGGGAGTGAGTTTAAGAGCAGCCAGTCTGCAGCTGTTCGCCCAACCACCCCTTTGCCTGTCTTCACAACCCACTGCTTGGGACAGTTCTCAACACCCTATCCCAAGAGTGGGTTGTGAGGGGACAAGATGTGGAAAAACTCTGCCTTACCCCTGATACTCCCTCCCACAGAAGGTAGTCACTTGTGGGTTAGGTCCATCCATCTGGTCTCATGCTTAATCTTTTCACTCTGGCATGGGAAATATTATTACACTCTCCTTCAAAGGCAAACAAGTTCCCTATCCAGGTCATTTTCAAAAGCTGGATATTCTGGGAATAGAGACTCAGATAAAGAATGCAAGGAGGGATTTCCCCCAAAGCCCTCATGTGCATTTGGATGGAGCATGGAGTTCCTTTGCCTCACCCCTTCCCCCCATCAAGAGGGAAGAGGGGGTGATGCTGTGGACTCTGGCCTGAGATACATGGCAGTGCCAGCTCCCCCTGCCCACCCTGTCCCCACTTTCTCCACTCTGCCGGATTGATGCTTGCTCCTCGAAACTTCCTGCTTGCAAAAGGATAGCTCCCATGCACCGTGGCTCAATTCTGGGCCTCTGGGAGCAGGGAAGGGCTATGGATCTCTTCTTCTTCCTCTCGCAAGTAGGCTGGCTTTCCCTGTGAGCTGGGGGCCTGCTGGGCCTTCAGTGGACACGAGGCCACCATATGGCTGATGCTCTGGCAGAAGTGGCACTTCTTAGGCTGGGGTGGCAGCTTGCATTCCTTGGCATGATGGTCTAGACCTCCACAGTTATAGCACCTAGTACAAAACAGGATGGTAAATTTGAGATAGGAATGAGAAGAGATCAGAAACCTTTCTCTGAGTGAGGACAACTAAGCTCTGGTCTAGTTACTATACTCACTTCTTTTTCTGGAGACCAATTTCCCCACTTATAAAAGGAGGAATATGACTAGGTATCTCTAAGTTCTTCCTAAATCTGTAATTATCTAGATAACATCTTCAGATTCATGTCAACTACCAAACAAAAATCACAGACCCACCTGGGAACTGCAATTAGGGGGATAGGTAAAACTACCATACCCTTTAAAACTATGCCTGTCATTCATTGAAAATACTGAAGAAATAAAGAGTCATACTACATAATCTGTTCAAGCAAAGCCAAGATGAAAGCAACCAGCCATCTGGAGACCTGGTGAAGAAGTACCAGGTATAGATCTTGCCCCTACTTTCCCATCCAGTTTCCCCTTGTTCGAAAATTATCTTGTGAGAGGTTAGTATCACTACCCTACTTAGCAGTTGAAGCTAGAGCTCAGAGTTAATTCCTTGTCAAGTAGAAGAGCTAGACATCAAGC